TTTTATTTAATAAAAAATGCTAATTTTTAAAAATGGTTTGCCGAAAATTCAACAATTTGCCCACTGGATTTTATGTTTTTGCTATTAAAGGGTATGGAGCTAACTCTTACATCTAATATAGATTTTATTTTTCAAATGTTTAATATAAGTAGTATTTTATTTTTAAATTTTATTTTATTATGCTGGATCTAATGAGGTGTATTTATTTAAAATAATTTTTTAAACTAATTGTTTACTTGGCTTTTTTTTTCTATGTTTTCAAATTTAAAATCTAGTTTGCTTTTTTTTACAAATTTTTTTACATTGACTAAAACAATAAGGTTATTAGTGGCTTTTTTAATTTTTATTCTAGTTCTTAATTCATGTTTTTATATCAAATCAAATTTTTTATGCTAATCAAAGTTTTTATAATTATTATGCTTATGGCATAATATTTGCACAAGTACGTCAAAATTCAGACTAGCAAGTTCTTATAAATTGTGCCAGCTGTCTGATAATTTATTTTAATGTAATTTGTAACAATTCTAATTTATAATATTAAAATAATCTAATATAGAAAATGCTAAATGAGTTTTGTCTTAAAATAAGCCTGCATAGAGTAAAACTTTTTTTGAAAATAGGAGATGATTTTTTATCTGTTGTGTTGATAGAGATGAAATTGAAATTTTTAAATCTCTTGTTGCTATTGATGGATGACAATCTCTAAAGATCATGAATTTGTTTGTTCCATTAGCAGTAGGTTTTCTATCAAAGAACCAGTTTATCATACTTAGCATAGTTCGAAATGTATAAAAGAATTGTCAAGTTTAAAACATATTTCCAACTCTTTCAACCTAATCAATTCTAATTTACCTTACCCTTTGACCACAAATTTATCAATGCCCTCCTTCACAAATTTATCAATGCCCTTTCTTATCCAATTCCTTATTCTATTTGACTTCAAATGCAATATAAAATTAAACTAGCATTACCTAAAAGTATTTTTCTAGAACATATAGTCTTGATGGCAGTTACTTTGTTGCTATTGATAGGCCAATGTATGAGAAAGAAGTTCCTAAAACTTTGAGATCACTAGCAGATGTATTTTTAAAGTACCATATTTATAGAAAATTTCATATGCAGGTACAATGTTACAATAATGTCTGTAAATATGAAACTGTGTCAGGAAATTATCAACATGTTTCCTTCGTCTATTTACCATCTTTAAAAACAAAAATATTGATCTCCTCACTAATAAAAATCTTTAAAACTTTCTTGAAAAAAAAACTATTATTGGAGGTTGCTATAATGATGGTGGTTTAGATGTACCCAACTTTGTCAAATTGTTAAGATTTTGGACAAAAGATGCTTCATTCTTTAATTGAATATCTAGAATGTATTACTCTTTTTTTTAAGAATTTTTTTTTAAAGGAGTTAAAAAAAAGTAGCTTCTTTTTTTAAAAATAGTTTGAAGACTTTAATTGAATATCTAGAATGTATTAAAATTCTGAGGAGTTTAAAAAAAGTATTTTCTTTTTTTAAAAATAGATTCAAGATTTTTTAAAGCAAGTTTTTTTAATTCAATTTATATAGTTAGGGAAGGATTGAACTGATCCCAATTTGAGTTTTTTGAAAGTATTAACTTTCAAAAAATTCAAATTGGCTTAACCAAACAAAAGTTAACCTAACTCAAGTTAGGTTAGCTTTTGTTTGGTTTAGTTGCTGATTGTTGTCTTGAGATAATACTTGATATATACAACAACAAAAAAAAGCTGTCTCTAGTGTATGCTTTACTTAAACCTATATGTTCATTATTTATTTATAAAGAAGCTTTCACTTGGGCAGAAGTTACACAATCAGATTCTCAAGTTGTATCTTGATATGCAAAGGATCCTACTTGGCTTTACATCAGAACATACTAGCTAGTCATTAAAACCTAAACAAGATACTGAAAACAATATTCACCAAAATAAAATTTTGCAAAAAAAATATGCTACCTTAATTTATTGGAAACATTTCTTAAAAAAATACTAAAAACCTCAAAAAAAGTAGTGTATATTTCTTAATATGTTGTATGAATTATTAAATTAGTTATATATAAATTATTACAGTTATTTAGAAATAAATAAAATCGTTATTTTTGATATAATTCTAAAATGCAAACTTCAAGTTACGCCAAATAATTAATTTCATAACTATAATAATATTTTTGTAAATTACTGGGTTTTGTTTTTTTTTGTTTTTTTTAACGTAAACTATAAATTGGATTTCTAACAAATTTTGAATATTATATATGTTTTTATATTTTGCTTAAGAACAATATTTGATAATTATTTTCATTAGATTAAATGTGTGCGATACTGGCCAGAACCAGGAATGTCTATGATTGCAGATAATAAACAAGTGACAAATGCAGGGGAAACAGTTACCAGAGATTACATTATTCGTCAATTAGAGATTCAATTAGAAGCAGTACTAAATTTTTTAATTTATTTATTTATTTTATTTCTACTAAATTTTATTATATGTTGTAATAATTTAGCAGCCAGGTGGCACATCTAAAGGAGTTCGCAAAATATTTCACTATCAGTTTGTTGGTTGGCCTGATCATGGTGTCCCTTCAGATCCTGGATCATTGTTAGAAATGATGCAACTCATTGAGGCTACACAAAAAACATTTCAATTTCCAGGACCTCCGATCATTCATTGCAGGTTAGTTTTTTTGTTAACTAATATCGTTAACGAAAAACATCATCGTATACTAACATCGTTGATAACTAACATCGTTGATGACTAACATCATTGTTAACTAACAATTAATAAATAGCTAACGGTTAATTATTCTTGTTTGTGTGATTTTCTATCAAACATATTGTGTTCAGTAGATCATAAATATATAACAGCCAATAAAATACATTTTAGTGCTGGCATTGGAAGAAGTGGTACTGTAATAGTTATAAGCATGCTGATGAGTCTATACCGAATTAAAGGTTATAAAATTACAAAATTATTATAAAATTGTTATAAAATTATAAATTTAGCCCTGTTATAAAATTATTATAATATAACCCTGCTATAAAAATTATTGAATTTAGTTTTATAAAATAGTTTTTAACAAGGTTGGTATCGTTTACTTTGTTTATAGTAATTTGACCAATTACTATGGTGTTTAATTCTAGGACATTTAGAAGAGCGTGATATTCCAAGGACAGTGCAAAAAGTTAGATTGCAACGTTCAGGAATGGTTCAAACTGAGGTCTGCCTTTGCTTATTTTTTATTTAGTGTTTTGTGTGTAAACTTTGGGCATAGTCTGTTTCAATTATTTCCTATTTTTGAAAAATAGTTTATGCGAATATTTTAGGCTCAATATCGTTTCATTTACGCTGCCGTTGTTTTTTATATGGATACTGTTGAACAACGAGAAGCACAGTGTTCAAAAGTAAAAAAATTGATTGTATTAATCTATAAATATTGTAAATGTGTAATAAATAAATTAAATAATGTAAATAAATGCATTTGGGTTTTGGATTTAATTGTAAGCTTTCTTTTTGTCAGGTTAATGCAAATACATACGACAATCTTAATGAACTTTCCTCGATGTTGAAAAAATCTGCCATTGCTGATGAACCATGTAAGTAATTAAAAGATTTTCAAAACTTTAGAGCACTATTAGAGTCGCAAAATCGTTTTTAAACATCCCTTGTTATTTTATGAACTCGATTTTTTTTAGCTCTAGTTTTATCATTTATAATATGTTAATTAAACAACCTTTTGTTTTAAAATATTTTTTAACGTTTTCATTTAGCTTAAACGAAAAGGAATCATCCAAAACAGTTTTTTTCAAATAATCGTTTTTTTTTACCTGAAAAAGTACTTTCTAATTATAGTCATTGAAAAAAGACATGTTTTATATTCTAGTCTTGGTTTTCAACCTTATTTGAAATTCATTAATACAGATAAATAGTATTACTTTTTTCTAAATCGAAAATTTAGTTTTTATCTCATTTACAGGATATAATCATTATCTTTCCGCGATCTTTTTTAAATGGTTTTTACATAGTAAATCAGTTCAAATTTTGTATAATAAACTTTCTATCGAGTTCCTCAAAGAGTATAAATATATAATTGATATAAATAAAGTTTTTCTAGTTTTAAATAATGCAACATTTTTTGTTTATGAATTATTTTGTAGTAATGAAATTCGATTTTAATTTAGTTTAAAGATATATTTTTGGTTTAATTGAAAGTGGGAATATAAAAAGTCGTTCATTTTTTTTATTTGTTAAATACATTTTTATAAGTACTATTTTTATTTATAAATAAAAAAGTGGGTCAGTGAAATCTTTTGGTAGTATAACTATCTAAATATTTTGACTTGGGTTCTATTTAATCTTAGAATTTTTCTTTTAATTATCGTCTTATACAATTATTAATTTTTGACATGTAGCTAGAGTTTGTAAAACTAAAATAAATTGATGTTTATACAAATTGTTTTGTTTTTGTGAGTTATCACTTCTGATAGTTAAAAAAAATTACTCTCATAAAGTAAGATAAATTTCTTAAAAGTGATTAGATATTGTTTTATTAGTTTTGCTACCTAAACTGTTAATGGGAATTTAAGGTGAAAAAAGTTGTACCAAGTTATTAATATTCTATTGATGTTACTAATCTTTTGAGTTGTGAAGTTTTGCAAAAATATTGTTTTTGTACTAGTATATTTACAAAAGTTGATAGAATATGCCACCAGTTACTTTAGGACAGTTAACCTCTTTTTAAAGAGATGAGGTATGTGCTGTAATACACTTTGTTTTTCTCGTTGTATAAGCTTAAAATTAAAAAAAAAGAGGAACTTTTTTTACCCTCTTTTCCCTGCGTAGTAGTAGTTCTGCGAAACTTGAAGGGTCTTGGTATTACCTGAGAATCATAAGCGTTGATTTTGGTGATGAAAACGTGCATACTTGCTCTGCTTGAAAAGCAATACGGTTTACTAATACTTAAAGCAACCGGTAAATTTGAAAGCTTGAACTTTGTTGGATAAAATAAAATCTTTTTGAAGGTGAAAAAATCATGAAAGTAAAAAGTGTACTTTACCAAACTTTCCTTACCTTTTAAGTAATTTTCTGTTGAAGAGGGAAACATTTTATGAACGCATACTTAAAATAGTTATTGATGTTGGAGGTGGATTTCTCTAAGCATTGTGGAAAAAAAGAATTTTATTTATTTTCCACTCCATCAAATAAAGTACTAGTTACGTTAACGATTCATGCAGATCCCTCAAGCTTTCTTATGTCAAGTGACATGAAAGCTGCTTACATACTGTGTGGTCGTTAGTCTCCATCAACAACACATCCATGTACATGGTTCATAGATCAAATAGTCTAACTGAATGTGGAACTTTGCAAACATTTAAATTTTTCATAACAACTTTCAATACTTTCGTATTATCATAGTATGATGTCAGATTAGCCAAAAATTTTGGTAATACTATACATGAACTAGTTATTGTTTTGAATGATTCATGATTCATTTTGAATGATTCATACCTGTCATTGGTTTTATCCCAACAATATAATTCCATCTTTTGCTCAGAGTAGTGAACCATCTTTAAAAACTTCTTGAAAATGTAAGTTTAGTAGATGACTAAACATAAGCTTTGCATATCAATCGACAGGCTTATCATAGTAGCCAATTTTATGGCCGCAGAAAATTTCGAATTTTTACAGCAAGTTATTGTAACATTTAGCCAATTAATGAGATATTTAATGTTGTTGTAAATGCATTCTTTTGAAATTGGATGAGGGGGTACACAGAGACTTCATGATGTCCGGGGTATATTATTATAAAAATGATACCCCACCCCAACCACCACGAAAATAAAGCTACAGTTTCTAGTATTCAAGAAATACTTTAAAAATTCTGTATTTAAGACAGTTGACGAATCAAACAAATAAACACAACAAAGAAAAAAAAAATATTTCTGGGTTTGGTATCAAGTTTTTCTGACGTTATACCAAGACTTTCAAGCTTTTCTAGCAGCAAAGGTAGAAGTTACAACATCGTAATTAACTTTCTTCGCAAGATCTGTTTCAATTGAAAAAACAAGACAGTTGTCATCTGTCCCATGGTAGCTCTTAGAGAGTTCTTGACAAGATCTAAGTTGCTAAAAGATCTTTTGCCTTAGCGACAGATACTGGCAAAGTAAGAAAGATACAAAGACTGATGTATATATGATGGAAATCTTGAAATCTCTCTGTAATCTAATGGATGAAGGTAACAAAGTAAAACATTTTTATTTCTTTTTCGGATGTTTTCAATTTTTTATTTGGCATACAAATAATTTTTTATCTTCTGATGATGCCTCGTAAACGTGATGCTCGGGGGATACCGACTCGGATCCCCACCCTCTGTGCGCCCCTAAAATAATCTCAACCTGTTTATTTTATACAACCTGATTATGTTATACAAAATACAACACAATCTAATCTAATCTAAGTACAACATAATCTAATCTAAGTACAACATAATCTAATCTAAGTACAACATAATCTAATCTAAGTACAACATAATCTAATCTAAGTACAACATAATCTAGTCTAATCTAAATACAACATAATCTAATCTAAGTACAACATAATCTAGTCTAATCTAAATACAACATAATCTAATCTAAGTACAACATAATCTAGTCTAATCTAAGTACAACATAATCTAATCTAAATACAACATAATCTAATTTAATCAAAGTACAACATAATCTAATTTAATCAAAGTACAACATAATCTAATCTAATCTATTTTTTTTTCTTTCTTTTATTAATTTTATTTAGGTGCCCCCAAGAAGTCCTTACGGTCTTATCACAGAGCACCGCGGATTAGCATTTAATAGGAAGTCCACGCCTCCTTTCCTAACCGATGTTGCAAAACTTGCCCAAAGGTGGGGTTTGAACCATGGATCCTTTGAGTCTGAGGCAAGTGCGCTACGGCTACTCAATCTAAGCACAACATAATCTAATCTAATCTGAGAAAAACATAATCTAATCTAAGAACAACATTATCTAAAATTTTCTATTATAGTTAAGATTTGATGGTACTTTTTCTAATAATATTTTATTATACACGCATCTATTACAAAAATTTTTTTACAAAATTTTTTTATAAATATGGCAATAAATAATATCAGATGAAGAAAAACACAGATTTTTATTTAGAATTTCAGCGTATTTCAAAAGTCACGACTATCGTATTCTGTTTGAATGTGTTTTTTACTGTAGCACTGAGTGCCACAGTAAAAAACAAGTGCTACATTAAAAAATGAATGCAACAATAATCTACTCTAAAAAACGTCTCAAAACAAAAAATTAGAAAATCAAAGAGGAAAATATTGGTTAAAATATAAACGCTAAAAAAGTAAACTTAATTTTGTGTTAAAAGTTTATTTATTCAATATCAAATCAGCTGTTTGAATTCTATTGTTTCATAAGAATTATAAACAAAGAACTCGATCGCTAATTCAACTCTACGTCCTATTTATGTCTGAAATAATCAGAGAACGTCCGCTTGCCCACGAAAACATAATTCTTTAAATTTTTGTATATCATAAATGCTAGTTTTCGAAATACAAAAATGTTTTTAAAACGATATTATTATATAACTAAACAGTTACCGCTTGCAAATAAGAAAAGTGGTAAGTAGACATTTTTCTTGAAAATTTCGCGGAATGCTGGCACTGTTAACACCTCATAATAATTAGTAAAAAAATATATAATCTAATTGCGCATTTTTATAATTAAAATTTATTTATTCTTATAACTTTTTAATTTAATTTAAAAGAATTTTTGAAACATTTAATTATAAATTAACTCACTAAAAATGTCGTAACTCCAGTATTGATGTTGTTGCTTCAATATTGAGCATGCAAATTTAATTTTGGAATACTAGTTTGTACTGTGAGCCCTTATGTTATGCAACTTGAGATGATTAAGATTTTCAAAAATTTCAACAAAGAAAAAATCTGCAACATGTTTTTTTTGTTGCATTAACTCAATTTTTAATTTTATTCATGGTGTGAATTGCATTAGAAGTTTAGAGAAAAAACTCAGTGCTCATTAGGATTTGTAATCCCGTACAATATTTTTAATCCTGGTATTATTGGTAATCCGGGATTACATTTACTTATTCCCGGGATTAATCCCGGGATTTTTAAATACAAGTTTTTGAAAAATTTAAACATATTATTTAAGTAAAATTTTAATAAAGTTAATAACATTCAAAATATGTTAAGAAAAAACTATTTATTAAGATAAAGCCAGGGATTCACCTTCCGGTAGACTTATATCAATTAATACCTTTTATATTCAAATTTTTAATAAATAGACGCGTTATTTACTTCCCAAAATCCAAAAGCAAAAAAATTATTTGCTTCCCAAAATTAGCCGCAACATACTTCTGCAAGATATCATTTTTTTTTTTTTTGGTGATCATTTGAACTATTAATTTTCGTATCTTTTTGATCACTGGACCACAACTTACCTTAGTAACATCATTTTGTGTTCTCGATGCCTAATATGACTAGCATCAAGATCGACGAATTCATTGTTAAAAATTATCAAAAAAAAAATCATCTTCCTCGCAAGAGTTACTCTCTGAAAAAAAGAGCTACTCTATGTTCGTCTTCGTCAATTGATCTATTTTTCTTTTTATATCTTGTCTTTGATATAGTACTTTAACAATGGCTAGTTGCACACCATGGGCAAAACATAACTGTTTTTTTACAGGTAATATTCTTTCAATTTTTTTTCTTCGAACTTGCTCCGTTGGAGCAAGTGCGAAGTTCGACATAAAAATTGTAAGAAATTTGAATAAATTCGACTAAGCACCAACATGTTTTAAGAATATAAATGCAAACATATTTCAATAATTATAATAAAATCAATCGAATTAATCGTAAACATAATTGCAAGAATTTCGAATTTGTAAAGTTCGAATTTAATTGCAATCGAACGAAAAAATAATAATTTAGGAATTTTTAATAAACCGAAGAAATTTTAATTTTAAAATGTTCAACCGAAAACGATTAAAAAAAAAATCCCGGGATAGAATGCTTATTCCCAGGATTTTGAGACTGTTCTCAAAAAACCGCGGAATCCCGGGATTTTGGGATCCCAGAATTCCCAATACTAGTGCTCATTCAAAAAAATGACAGTCATAATGATACATTATATAACTCCTTAATATAGGCACTTTTTTTTTTTTGCTCTTTAAAAATTTTTTTTTTAATAAATAAATAAATAAAAAAGTTGCTCACTTTTATCCGCGCTCCATCTTTTTTTCCTTTTGATGTTTATCAAACGTAAAATTTTGTTTTAATAATTTGTTATTTGTTTTTCCAAAAAAATCTGAAGCAACAACAATAAAAGAAAGACATATTGTCTTTAGGGAAGTTTGTTGTCACGGTCTAATCATGAAATTGTTTTGAATATTAGATATCAGTTGCAGTCTAGCATACAAATTTATAATTGATTTTCCGTTATAGTTATGGAGAGTTCGAATGTTGGTAAAAATACTAGTATTTTTACAATTTTCCTGTAACGTTGTTTTTAACAACTTTATGTCGTGATATATATTAGAAGTTTTACCACAAAGTTATTTTCTTTTTATATTTGAATATAATTTATATTTATTGTTGGTTCTTCTTTTTGTTTGAATTACATAATTGTTTAAGTTACCTCCTAGTGGGCACAGAACGTTCGTCATATAAACGTCATGAAACGTCCTACGGACGTATTTTCCCGCTGAGCTAGTATTAAGTTACAATAGCGTTTAGATTACCTGGTTTTATCTTTAAATAAATATGTTCTAAATAAAGTCAGTTAAGTTCATTACTTGCTCACAACTTTTATATTGCATATATTTTTATATATTAAATTTCTTATAACTGTGTGTGTAAGTGTTTATAAGTGTGTGTTCGCTTATTATGGTGCTTAACGTTCTTGTCACAGAACACCAATGATGACCATTTTACTAGGAAATTCAAAGTTAAATTTACCGACGCCGCAAATGTAACCAAACATTGAACCTTAGATCATTAAATTTGCAAACACGCCCTAACCATTACGTTAGGTCAGCTCAAGTTTTTAAATTAATCAAAAAATCAAAATGTCATTAAAATTTTGTTTTTAAAACTTTACCATTCTTATCAAGTTAGCAATCCATTTAAACCCACCCAATTCGTTTATTTATTGTATAATTATCATGATAATCTTTATAAAAACTTTCTCCTCATTGATTTTAAGATTAGGATATATTCGTATAAGAGATTGATATCATTTTCTTTCAATGTAAAACATTTTATACATTATTAAGTAGAAATACCGTTTTAAAGCAATTTTATACGTGATAATAAAAAGCACTTGAATTTTTAAATTATAAAGTTACATGGAAAGGTGTTAATGTATACAGCAGATAAAGTTAGGGAACCAGGTTGGTGTAAAAAAGAATCTTAAAGATGCTTTACTTTCTTTGATAATCTTTTAATCATCAATGAAAATTATTTATTTAAGAAGACTTATTTTATAGGATATTTTTATATCAGCTAAAATCATCAAAAAACTGCAAAGGCCACTTTGACGGCGTATTTTGTTGAAAAAATTTAGTTTACTGGTTAGAAATTAATTGAGAAAGATGAACGCAACAAATTGTAAGGTATGGATTTTTTTTTCCATATGTGCAATATTTTGATAAAAAAAGAATTTTATCAAATTTTCTTTTTTGCTTTATTTTTTTCGGTTTTTTATTTTGATTTTTTAAAATTTCAGATTCGCAGTTTTTTTAAGTATATATATATTATAATTAATCATTTTAGATTGGTAGTTTTCTTAGTTCATGTTTATTTTAATCAATAATTTCAGATTCATAGTTTTCTAAGTTTATGTTTATTATAACCAATAATTTCAGATTCGTAGTTTTTTAAGTTTATGTTTATTATAATCAATAATTTCAGATTCGTAAATTTCTAACTTTATGTTTATTATAATCAATAATGGCAATGTTTTTTAATTTTTTTTTCTGAGAGTTTTTTAAAAAAAAAAAAAAAAAAAAAAAAGAGTTACAACATTTGATCCATTTGCCGTTGGGCCTAAATACTATATACACTGAAAACATCTTTTTAATTTTCCAGGAAAATATTTACAGAAGCTGGTTTTCACAGAAGAGAGGTTTTCAGCATTACTTTAAAAAATAACATTATTTTTTCACAATCTAGCATCATAAACATTAGGGTTTTTGCAATAAAACACACAGAGCGAAGCCTTATCATCATTTTGATCTGGTGGTTATTATAGATATGTACAGATTATACATAAAAAAATTACTATAAAATATTTTCAACAAAGAGGTCTGATTTGTTTTACTTCATTTTAATTTAGAAACAGAATAAATTTTTTTTTATGACACTTTTTTTTCAGGGCGTAACCAAAAAAGTTCAAAAGAGATTTCAATTCCCTTGTATGCAGTACTAAAACAAACTCGGAAAAGTTATTTAAACATATATATTTTTGGGTTAAAAATTATTTTTTGAATTTATATCGTAAATGTATCGTAACTAACATCAGCTAATAAATAATAACATAGTCTTTCTTTAAAATTAGGCCTTTTTGACGTTTTATCAATAAATATATGAACATCGGCTGGCTATAATAGAACATGTAGCCTCGATTAAGAATTGACTTATTGATAAAAATGTTGTACGTGTGGCTGATATACTGGACACTAATTATGGTTATAAACATATTACCTTTTATAAAAAAACGATTAATATGGCTTCATAATACGGCGGGTGTTTTAAGGCTAGCGAGAATTCTATCTATATTTTATTTTTCCGTGCGCAGATTATTTTGTCTAACATCTATTAGGATCAGTTTTGATATGCAACAGAATACGAGATAAGAAAATATCAAATAAACTTTTATTTTTTTAGTTTTATGGATTGCTTCATAGTTATACTGACTTTATCAGAAAAAATTTTTTACCGATAGTAACTATAACGATTTGTAAACTATTCAAGGTTACGGAATTATATCAGATAAATTATATTCGTAGAATTTGAATATATATTACTAAAAAATACAAGAGGTGTTTTGATGATAAAACAAAGGAGAGTATTGTTATTAAAATTATTATTATTAAAAAAAACTAAATCTTTATTTATTGTTACTTTTTTATAAACCGCATGAAAATTCAAAACATTTATACCCATAGACTTAATAAACGTTTCACCGGAGTTTGTTTTTGTTTATTCATGAATTAAAGGTAATTATTTTGTTTGATTATTTAAACATTGATTACTTATTAGCAAAGAAAAACACTGATTTCAAAAACATTTTAAAATTAAATTCTTTTAATTAAATAGTATCCTAGCCAACAAGAAATACTTGACACAAAATCATTAATTGACATAATTAATACAAAATTATTAATTGACATGATAAATACAAATTCACTGATCGTGAATCTCAATGCAACGTTATGGTAATTATATTAATTAGCTTATACAACCATGACATGAGAATATTATCTATATTATGCTGTCTATATTATATTGTCTAAGAAAACTTAATGATTGCTGATATACGCCAAAAAACAATCCAGTGCAAAGATTATGCAAACTACGATAAAGCAGTTAATAATGAACACCGTAATTAAGAAAACATTCTAATGTACTGATGACGTAAATTCAGCTTGGTTTAAATGAACGAAAAGTAAAAAAAAATGCATCTTGATTATTATTCTCTAACTTATTTTTAAAAAGTTTACAGTTAAAGATTTAGTTATATCTTAAATAGCACTTAAGTTATAAAAAACATGTTTTGATAAAATCTGCTTTGGACTGACATATAACTTTTTAAAATGAGCGCTTGAGATGGTTGATCAAATTGTTTTCTCAAAACATTTTCTGTGTTACTTAAGTACTTTTTGAAATAGACACTCCAGTTTCATTCGTACAATAAATAAAATATTTGATAGCCATACACCTCACATTATTAATTAGGCACAAGAAAAAAAAGTTGCCATGGTTAACCGCGGAAGGAAAAAAATGATATAATAATGGAGACAAAGCTTTACAGAATTAAAAGTGAAAAAGATTTTTCTTATATAAGTTTTTAGAAACCGCTGCTTTCTACTTAGAAAAAATCGAAATATAAATAGGATCTTATCAATATTAACACCTTCAATAATAACATCACCATTATCCATACAGTTTTTGGAAAATTATCAAACAAAATTTTCCTTCAAAATCAAAGGGTATTTAACTTCCGTAAAAATATTGTGAAAAAAATACATCCTAATTTTTTGCTGATTACTTTAATAAGATTTTATTTTATTCCTTAAAAAACAGGAGTTGAGAAAACAAGATATCGCAATAAAAATTTGTTCGAACTCGAATATACAAACTCGTCAAGTTTGAATATTTTTTGCAAAACTTTTATAAAGAAGGATTGACTAAGATCGTGACGCAGGAGAGTTTCCTATACAGTTATGTATTATATGTTTTGTTATCTATTAAAAGATTTTTTAAATATAGAAATATTTAGAAATTCTACATCTAGAAATATCTAAAAATCTGAAATCCAGAAATATCTAAAAATTCTAAATCTAGAAGTATCTAGAAATTCAAAACTGCTGACCTCTAGAACAAATCTAAAAATATTTAGAAAATTCCGAATTGCTGACTCATATACGTGTATTTTTATTGACACCACTATGCGACAGAATATTTATAATTTTTGCATGTCAGATAGTCGAGCTTACAAAAATTTCGATCTTCTAAGTTGTTCTACAAAAAGAACATCTACTAAAAACTAATTTTCAGAATAACCTACTGAGACCTAAGTTGTTTTTAACCGATTTTTTTTTTCAACCGAATTATGATGTTTTCTTTTTGAGCGATCTATTTTTCGACCTATTTTATAGATTTTCAATTTCAACCGATTTTAAATAAATTAATTTTCAACCGATCATCTGGTCTGTGTTTATAACGTTGTTTTTTTTAAACTACGAAGTTTTTTTTTAAATTAACAATCAATAAGTTTTCAAACATTCGTCGAACTTTACACCTCCCGATTCTGAAGACAGCGCTTCAACCACTGCGCAAAGGCTGATCAAATTTTGTTTGTATTCAAATAAACAACAAAATATACAAAATACATACCGGGAAAGCATAGTTATAAAATTGTAAACACAGTAGGTTGAATATTCAGTAGGTTGAAAATTCAGTAGGTCAAAAATACAGTAGGCCAACGATTTAGTAGGTTGAAAAATTAGTAGTACATGTTTTAATTAGATGTAAATATAAAAATCAAAAACTGTCGGTTGAAAATCAAAAACGTCATAATCTATGATTTACGAAATTTCAAAATTAGATTGAGTTATAAGCCACCATTTTTTGATGATAATTCTTTGACTCATTTTTTTAAGTAATAAGTTTAATTAAGGTAAAAAAAAAAAAGATTTCAAATTGCCAAATCAAGCTAGATTTCAAGGTGATAGCATTTTTTGCAAATAGTTTGAAAAAACAATCCTTTACGTTTTAAGAAAGACGTTTTCAACATTTGTCGCATTAAAATGAAAAGCTGTAAACATGGGAGACATGAAAAGCTGTAAACTCGGGAGACAACAGTTTGAATATGAGAATTCCTTCTTTAATGCCACTTAAAATTGTAAAGCGATAAATTTGTTGCAACAACTGATTTGCTAATGCTATAAAAATTAAGGGTTAACGAAATCACTGCATTCTATAATTTTTGTGAACATCTAATAAATGCCAGTTTGATAAACCGAAGGGCAAATTTGGAAACGCCAAAGAGGCGCAATATAGAATAAGAATTTCAGAAATACTATACAGAATAGGCACAATCCGGTTTGCTGATTTTAAAAAAGAAGCATACGTGCATTTCTTTGAAAATTTAATTTAAAAATCAAAATTAAAACAAGAATCAAATAAAGAATTGCATAATAATACTAAAATAAAATATTAATAACATAAAACAAAACAAACAAACTCCTACAATACAAAGTATTGTTTTAAAATTAAGATTTAAGACCCGTTGTCTGTAAGAACAAGACAGCTGCAATTACTGAATGCCACTAATTCACCACTCTTCTATTTTTTTTTACATTTTGCCTTAAACCATTCTTTAGGAATCAATAACTGGAGTACTAACCATTTCAAAAAAACAATATTTTCTATCATCTTGTTTTTGATAACCCGTTATAAGTTTTACCAGAAAAACAAAAAAATCAAAAGTTTCGAGTTGTTCATTGTCGGTGATGATGATAGTGATTGCAGACTACAGATTTGTTTCGATACATAAAATGAATTATCCATGGCCTACTATATTATACGGCCGTATATGTTACATTTTAGAGGCCGATTCTAAGAGGCCTATTTTCGCACAAAAAAAGGCAACAAGTTGAATGATAAAACTATTAATTTTAAACTTGCATATTATGCAAAATAAAAAGCAACTTGCATAATAAGTAGAACTTGCAAATTATATATATATATATATATATATATATATATATATATATATATATATATATATATATATATATATATATATATATATATATATATATATATATAATTTGCAAGTTCTACTTATTATGCAAGTTGCTTTTTATTTTGTATAATATATGTATATATATATATATATATATTATATATATATATATATACATATATTGTATATGTATATATTATATATATATATATATATATATATACATATATATATATATATATATATATATATATATATATATATATTTATATATATATATATATATATATATATATATATATATATATATATATATACATATATTATAATATGTATATATTATATATATATATATATATATATATATATATATATATATATATATATATATATATTATTTAAAATGTATATATATATATATATACATATATATATATATATATACATATATATATATATATATATATATATATATATATATATATATATATAATATAATATACATATCTTTTCATTTTCCGTTAAAAAATCATCAGTTACTGAATTATTGGGTTCATTTTGTTAATCGTACTGATTGGGTGCCTTCACCAAACTCCGTTTTGTGTGAAAAGCATTTTAATGAAAAGTTTATCATCCGTGGTAAAAAATGCAAGTTAAATTGGAATCTAGATCCTATTCCTGAAATTTTCTCCAGTGATTGCTTAAAACGTCCTTCCACATTACCATCGCTTATTGCTTTGAGAAGACCTCCTAAAAGTCGTATTTTTCAAGAAGATGAACTAAGTTCTTTTTCTGAAAATGATAAAGTTACTGAATGGACCATGCTAAGTATTAAACATTCACCAGAAGGTTTCCAATTTAAAAAACATCTCAATTGTGTAGTTTATTATAATTTAATATTTGATCCTATAACATTTTTTCCATCAATTCTTGAATCAATAAAAATTGATTATTGCTTATGTGTAGCTTTGCAATATAAAGGTAATAATGTTCCACTTCCTCCATGGTTATGTAAAGGTCGTAATTCTAAATTAACTAGTTTGAGTATGTTAGAAAATCTTGCAGCGTACATAAAAAATACCGCTTCTTCTAATAGAAATATACTTCTTGATGAAATAAATAGTCGAACATACTATAAAGCCAAGGGTCAACCACAATATTCTGCTGATATGATTAGACATGCTTTATTATTAAGATATACATCTAAACAAGCATATGAAATTTTACTAGAATCATTTCCATTACCTTCAATTTCTTTAATAAAACAAGGTGGAGTTGATGCAATTAAGGCTGTTAAAACACTTCGTAAGAAAGGTTCAATACATGAAGATGTAATATTAATTGTAGATGAATTTTATCTTCAGAAACAAGCACAATATTGTAGTGGTATTTATGTGGGTGCAGATGATACAGGTACTTTGTACAAAGGAGTTGTTGCATTTATGATAGTTTAAAAAAATCGATTCCTTTCATTATTAAAGCGATACCTGAAGTTAACATAAGTGGTAAATGGCTTTCAGATCAAATATCCGATTCTATTAGTTCTCTTTCGCTATCTGGTTTTAAAATTCGAGGTGTTGTTACCGATAATCATAAATCGAATGTAAGTGCATTTAGTTTGCTTCGTTCCAAATTTGGTAAGCAATCAAATTTCTCTATTAATCATCCTGATAGTCCAAATTCTAAAATATACTTATTTTATGATAGTGTTCATCTTGTTAAAAATATCAGAAATAATTTATTACATTGTAAAAAATTTGTCTTTCCATCCTTTACATTTAATATAAAAGATGATTCTAATAATTGTCCAGCTGGTTATATTACTTGGGGAGATTTTCATCATCTACATTCTAAAGATGAGAAACTTCAAGGCAATTTACAAAAAGCTCCAAAAATTTCATATCAGAGTCTTCACCCTGGTAACAAAAAGCAAAACGTTTCTCTTGCACTATCAATTTTTGATGAAACAACAATTGCAGGTTTCAAGAGTTATTTTCCAGAATGTAAAGACATTTCTGGTTTTCTTACAATTTTTCACAAATGGTGGACTATTTCAAATTCTAAAGAGCGATTTAGCCCAAATAAACTTGGTAATGCGATTATTCTTAATGATGGTAAAACAACTTTTTTTCGACAATTAGCTAATTGGATTGAACTTTGGCAGAAATCTCCATATTTTACCTTATCACAACAAACATCATCGGCTCTCATCACAACTCTGCGTTCTCAAGCAATGCTTATAGATGACCTTATTGAAGAAGGATATTTATATGTACTTACTTCACGGCTTCAAAGTGACCCAATAGAGCGTTGATTTTCGCAATATCGACAGATGAGTGGTGGAAGTTTTCTAGTTAGCTTACTAGAAGTTCAACATTCTCAAATTATTTTAGCATGTCGGTCTTTAATTAAGGAGAATATAAATTTTTGGGATGAAGATCTAAAAAACAACCACAATAACCTAATTAATAATGAATTACTGGCAATATTAGATTTAAACTCAAACGAGATATCTAAATCAACTCTCTCACCTGAAACAGAAGAAGTTGCAACAACAATAGCAGGTTACATTGCTAAAAAATTAATCAAAAGAAGCAAATGTAATTATTGCAAACCTTTGCTAGCTACAGATACAAGCAATATAATTATTTGTCCATATCTACAAATACTTTCCAGAGGTGGTCTTACAGTACCATCACTTTCACTTAAAGATTTTACATGTGGATGTTTTGCAGTGTTAGATAACCTTTCAGATTTAATAACTAAACAAGGTGCTAATGTCAAAGACGTATCAAGCTTTGTTTTATCAAAATACTTTCCTACAGTTTGTTTTACCTGTGATATACACAAAAAATGGGGTTTTAATTTTGCTTCTAAAATCATAATTAATGTTTTTTTTAACAATAAGCAGAACTTAATCAATGCTACTGTACGAAAAGATGCTGTTAAAAGTTTTAAAAGTATACAGAGAGAAAAATAACCCTATATATCTATCATATATATATATATATATATATATATATATATATATATATATATATATATATATATATATATATATATATATATATATATATATATATATATATATATATATATGATATATATGTGTGTGTGTATAGGTATATATATACATATATTTATATATATATATATATATATTTATATATATATTTTATATATATATATATATATATATATATATATATATATATATATATATATATATATATATATATATATATATATATATATATATGTATATATATATATATGTATATATATATATAATGTATATATATATATATATATGTATATATATATATATATATATATATATATATATATATATATATATATATATATATATATATATATATATATATATATATATATATATATATATATATATATATATATATATATATATATATACATATATATATATATATATATATATATATATATATATATATATATATATATACAGGGGCGGACTGGCCATGTGGAAGATGTGGACTATTCCACATGGGCCGTTTTCATAATCTCATAAAAATGTAAAATTCAATAA